TATATAGTGTATTATCTAACTTATTTTGTGTTTGTTGTATTTTATTTGTATTTGTTGTATTCTTCTTCTGCTAGCTGCACAAATTTCCCCACCGTGGGATCAATAAAGTTTTATGTTTTATTTTCACAATAACATATATTAATGTACAATCCTTAATATGTTTTGTAGGTAACCCAGCATCAGGTGAGCAGCCTATGGAGTATAATTCTGCCTTGGATCATGACTATTTCTGTGACCCACAACCTGCTTGCCTTGATGTGACAGTAGAGCAAAACATGAAGTTAAAAGAAGAAATGGGAACGTTAAGGAAAGAGATCCAGGAGCTCAAAATGCAGTCTGCTTTTGGATTACAAAGATTTGCCGGATCCGATGATGACATTCAGTTCTACACAGGGTAAACCTACGACACTTAGCTAGACATGTTACACAAAAATACCAGTTTGATTGTGAGCAATATTGTAAATGACCTGTAATAACTCTGTGTTTTTTTTACAATAGGTTTGCAAGTTACCGTCACTTCATGATGTTTTGGGGGCTGATTGAGCCCTCTGTCCACAAAGTGATTTACAGGTCAAGGTCCGAAGCTACTGAAAGAAGGAGTGAAGCCGTAAATGCATCACATATGGTTTGTATTTGTGCATTAAAGATTTTGAGAAAAAACAAACAGGAAATACATGTCAAACCTTTTTATTGTAACCTGGAATTATATAAAAGTATCATATGCACGTGGTACAGCATACATTAACATCAGTCAGGCACAACTTTATGACCACCTGCCTGATTATTTTGTTGGTCCCCCTTTTTGCAACCAAAACAGCTCTAACATGTCAAGGCATGGACTCCACTAGACCCCTAAAGGTGTGCTGTAGTATCTGGCACAAGTCCGGTAAGTGGTGAGGTTGAGCCTCCATGGATCGGACTTGTTCCTTCAGCTCATCCCACAGATGCTCAATTGAATTGAGATGTGGGGAATTTGTGCTCCATGTCAACACCTCAAACATGTTCCTCAAACCATTACTGAACCTTTTTTGCTTTGTTGCAAAGCTGAAAGAGGACATGAAAGGGTGTATATGATCTAAAACAATGCTTAGGTAGGTGGATCTGGTGCTTGGAGCTCCCTAGGGTAAGTGACACACTTGCACCTGGCTGTGCTTGTGATATAAAAGAAAACGTGATTCATCAGATCAGACCAGCTTCTTCCATTGGTGGTCCAGATCTGATGCTCTCGTACCCATTGTTGCTGCTTTCGGCGGTGGACAGGGGTCAGCATGGGCACCCAGACTCCTCTGCAACTATTTAGCCCTAAGCCCAACAAACTGTACTCTGTATTCTGGCACCTTTCTATCAGGACCAGCATTAACTTTTTTTTGGCAATTTGAGCTACAGTGGCTCATCTGTTCGCTCATGACCTTGTCGGTGCTTCCTTGGACCACTTTTGATAGATACTGGTCACTGCAGACCAGGAACACGCCACTAGAGCCCTTCTCAAACTCACTCAAATCCTTACACTTGCTCATATTTCCTGTTTCTAACATCAACTTTGAAGACAAAATGTTCATTTGCTCCCTAATACATTCCACCCACTAACAAGTGCCATGGTGAATAGGAAATCAGTGTTATTCACATCATCTGTTATGTCTGATCAGTGTAATTAGTTTTATAAACATGTTGTATGATGTTTTTTTCTTTTTCAGAGGCAGTCATTGCAACCCATTGATGAGCTGTTCCTATTCCAAATGTGCCTGGCTGCTGGTCTTGAGGAGAGAGACTTGGCAGACCGGTTTGGCATTCACCCCTTGACTGTAAGCTGCATTATCTCTTCATGGACCAACTACTTGTACACTCTCTTGGGTTCTGTGTGTATCTGGATTGATGCTGAGGACATTAAAGCTCACCTCCCTGATGCCTTCAAAGACTTTCCCAATACTCAGGTGATAGTTACTTGCACTGAGCTAAAATGCCAAACTGCATCCTCCACTCTCCCCCAACGTGAAATGTTCTCCACGTCTCACTGCACAATGAAAGGTCTGATTGGGATGGCCCCCCATGGCGCAGTGACCTTTGTTTCTTCACTCTATCAGGGGTCAATAAGTGACGAAGACCTCTTTAGGAGATCAGGTTTGGCTGACCTTCTTACAGAAGATATGGCCATAGTGGTTGACGAAGGATTCCTCATGTCTGACTGTGTGGATTGGAAGGTGTACTGTCCAGCTTTTCTTAGCCAAAATAACCAGATGCTAGCACACAGTGGCTTCCAGAGACAGGAAATTGAACGACTCAGCGCACATGTGGAGAGTGTAATCCGAAGGGTTAAGGAAAACAAACTGCTTGACTCGGTTATACCGCTATCGATTGCTGGAAGCATTAAGGAAATTTTTACTGTGGCTTGCTTGCTAATTAATTACCAAAATAAACCTCTCGTCAAGGCACGGGCTAAGTAACGCACATGAATATAGACTTCACATGACCGCGCAGACAGAAAGTAACTGGGTAGGTAAATTGTGAACATAAGCAAGTTGTATATTTCTATAAATAAGGAATTTTCATTTCCTTGTTCTGAATGTTTTCTGAAATGTAGACTATGTCAACAGATGTAGAGTCACAGCAGCATGTTATGAACTGATGCCACGATGTATAAATTTCATGAATAAATCTGAGTTGTTCCCAAAACAGTCACTGAATATAATTTTAAATTACTTTAAAATGCATTCATTTAAATAAAATGAATTAACACGAATTTACACTCTAATGTAGTTCTTTAGACTTTCTGAAGGTCTTTCAAAGTCTTTCTTTGGATTATTTTTCACTCATTTTCAGGACTTATTTCTGGCCTTTTCCCCCCCATTAAAAACCCCCCAAAACATGTAATGCTGACCTATGAATCGTTCAAGGATTAAAAAAGGCACCTAATAGAAGGGATGAACTAGTGCTGTCTACACATAACAGACAAAATAGTAAAGAACCCATTTTATATTGTATCTTTAGGCCCTGATACTAGCAGCCTGAATCTATCTGCAGCTGAACAGTATCTGAAAGTGGTGTCCTTAAAAAATAGGGAAAAAAAATCCATGATGTAAGAGACTGAGAAAGTCATACAAAAATAGTTTGCTTCAAATTCTTGCTGTTAAATGTGGTTCTGCAAGCTACTGAGTCATGGAGCGTTTTCTTTTTCACTCAGCTGTACATAATATATAAATAGTTTAAACTGACTATATTTAGAACAGCAGCATCATACTATCACTAACAAAGCATGAAGGTCAGAGTTGAGCTGGACGTGGGTTGTAAAGGCGCCTGCTGTGCATAGCAACTTGTAAACAGGCTAAAGAAGCTTAAATGTATGGAGTTTACCAATTGGACATGTCCATGTGTATCAGTGGAGCGTTCAGCTGAAGCACTGAGCTGTGAGACGGTGAATGATTTCGACTTTGTGGTCTGCATTAACTTGCATCAGGTTCGATTTCAATGTTCGGGCTGGATCAGGTAACCCTGAATCCTCTCTTAATTATGTTATATTATGTTATGTTATAATAGGCCTAAGCTGCTGAGGGCTTTCCATGACTCACTATGTGCTTATACGTCACTTTGCATTTAGTTACTAGATATTAGTAATCTCTGACTGTCTTCCAGTTTGTCCTGTCTTCCTCTAATTAACTCCAACTCATTGTGTCACATGACTGCCCCTCCCTATGATTGTTCCGCCAGAGGTTTCTTTGTGTTAAAAGCATTTTGAGGTGACTGCTTTGTGATTTTGCACTACATGTAAATGCAAGTGAACTGAATTTTTTTTATTGTTCCATGGAACATGTTGGACAAGTCAAGCCCAAAATACACAGAAGGCCGCCAACTGTGTTTCATCTGAATACATATTTATTAGATAAATATTAGGATGTCACATCATCTAACTACATACAGATTTGCAAGACTAAAAATCACAATGTTCTTCTGACCAGTTTAGAATATGAAATGATTGTACATAGAATGTACAAAACCAAATAGACAACTGCCACTTGTGCCAATCACTTCAGATTGTACCTTTATAGCATAAGTTTTGCCAAATTGCATAAAAATTATAAATTTGACAAAATGTTTTACAAACTGTAAATTTTGGAAACAACCCTCGAGAGCCTTCTCGAAGCTCCATGTCTCCCGAGTCCCAATTATACCTCAAAAGGTCGGAATAATTTCGTAGCACCTTTATAAAGTACACAGGTAATAACGAAATACACAGAATTTTCATATTACACAAGAGGAAAAATGTCTTTTCTTTTTCTTGAACCCCTTGTCGAAGGGGTTCATAAAGTATCTTACATAAATGAACAGGCATGGTTAGAGAGGTCTGCACAGACATAATCAAACACAGACTCATTTTCCCAATTCAATGTCTGACAGGAGGATGCAAGCTTTACAAATTCTAAATACACTATGCACACTCCCACTGGAGAAAATGAATACATTTCTGTTAACGTGTCTCTATTTGTCATTTACATTATGTACAAATATCCCTTATATCCCAAACCCATCCCCCAATCCTTACTGGGGGTCTTTCCCAAATTTCATTTTACAATATTAATCGTCTTCTCCTTTAAATCCTCAACTAGTACAAAGTGTGTCGCGAAAATTACTCGATTTTTGTGAAAGGTTACAGTCATAATTACACACTGTGTAGGGAAATAAAACATCCCAATGCGGCAGTGCATTGTCTTTAACAAACATATAAACAAACACAAAACAACATTTGACTCTTTCAGCTGTGTTGTATGCAGGCCATGTGATTACTCTTGAAGCCAAAATGCGGTTCTTGGAAAAGGATCATAAAGCCTAAATATGGGCGACTTTTTGTTTTTTTTTTTAACCAATGACATACAGTTTACTTCATATTCATTGTCTTTACTGCATAAACTGATGTAAACCAAATTTTACTCTCATACAAACACTGGACAAAAATAACTTAAAATGCAAAACAAAAGTGATGGAAACAGATCGATGGCTATGAAAAGCTCAGTATCACACCTCAAAACCATCCAGAGGACTTTTTTTTTTTTTTTTGCACATTCTCACCTTAAATAAAGAAGATGAGGATCCAATAATATTGAACAAATAGGTTTTGGAAAAATTTGGACCTCAGAGCTGCATTAACAACCTTTTATATGTTTCTTCCCGCTGATTCAAAGTCACAGAGTAATGGAAAAAACTGTACACAATACACAGGTACTTAATACAAAGCCAGTGAGAGTGCATTTAAATCAATTCCTTACAATGTTGGACTGTTTATCGGGGACTGTGTGTATTTAATGTGTGTGAGTTGTCACCGACAGACACGCAGTACCATGTAGATGCCAGTAATAGTTAGGTACAGTACTGTACATTCACAATGTATTCACAAAGGGTATATACAACAGCTCTGGAAACACTGTCGGGTCATGCAGGTTGTTTTTTTCTTCCCCCTCCCAAACAGTAATAAAACAACAAAAGATCAGTACAGTCATACAGATTTTTTTTTCTGTGTGTGTTTGATTTTTTTTATAAAACAGTGATTTTAAAAACTTCTGTGGATGTCTGTGGGATGCTGAAATCCTGCTGTTACACCAACACACAGTAATATCCAGACTCAACCCCTTACAAAAAGCACAGGACAGCTGCGGTGACTGATTCGTGTCAATGAAGGGAAAGGGAGCAGGAGGTTGAACGAAGAAAACACAAAGACGCTGACAAAGAACAAAAACCCCCCGATGAATTTACAATAAAATAATAAATATAAAGACTAGAAAGATAATGATTTGATCAAGCACATCTAGGCTGGACAAAAGACAACAGGAGCCGTTGGCACACATGCACTTGTGATGGAAACGGTGCTGAATTCGATGAGAAGTGAAACGTCACAATAAATACACAGGTGCTGAGACAGCTCTTTAAGCTAGATTGTCCCCTCCCTCCCCCCTCCTTCTGTCTCAAACTTTCTCTCTCCCGCTGTTTTCCACGTATGCTCGCAGGCAAACGAAAGAGGACGCGGAAACACACTCGCAGTCGGGCACACACACACACACACACACACACCACATTTCACACTATGTGCACTCGCCTCCTCCGCTGACACTCAAGGACGATTGAGTTTGTCCTCTCAGTGCACTGATTCTGATGAGTTCCACTTATTTAACCACCTCACGCACACACACACACATTCAGAAGTCTAGGGAGGTGGGGGGGTGGCAAGGTCAAAGGGCATGGCATATGCCAAAGTTTTGGAAGAACACATTTCAAGGGTAAAAACACTCTTACAAGACAATGTCTTTGCCGCCGACTCTCGTCCTTTTTTTTAAAATGAAAATTATAGATATTTATATAAACAACAAAGCTACAACACTTTTCTTGGAGCCCACAACGGCTCCTGTCTCCTCTGTGTTGATTACATATAATGATTATAGCTGCACAGTTTTTCAGTTGAAAAAAAGTCACAAATATTTAATATATATATATGTATATGTATACATATATACACACACACACACATATATATATATATATATATGTATATATGAAGTCACTTTAGTGCCCACCGACATGGCTGTAAATGGCGTGTTTCGAGTCAGAGGTGGTGGAACTGGTGTGTTGAATCTTTGCACAAGCGAAAGAAGGAAGTGTGGGGGACGAGAGGCTCTCCTGCTCTCTCCCTAGGAGTTCCCAAACAGGTGCCCCGCCCCGCCCCGCCCCCCCAGCTGTGCTCCTGTGCCGCACATTCTCCGTTTGTGTGTAAGTGCATAAGAAAGTTGTTTTGAAGTGTTAACAGGAGGTCGGTCAGGCGTCTGTGGACAGGGCAGTCCGACACATCACGAATCCCACGGGGGTGAACGAGTGGCTTGTGGGCAAGGCGAAGGTGCTAGTTGTTCTCAAAAAGGGAGAGGAGGTCGTCGTTGCTGTTGGTGGGAAGGTCGGGAGGGTCCAGGTACGAGAGCAGTTCTTCTGGATTCGCCAGTTCGGGAAGCAACTGTGCACAAAAGGCAGAAAAAAACAAAAACATTATTTCTTTTGTTCTTTTTTTCAAGGAAGGCAAATTTACCTTTTCGAGTGACTTCATATGAAGTGTTGATGCTAGCGTGCACATAAACAGCTACCACCGAGAGTCAAATGTTAACAGAAAACAGCAGAGAGATGAGAGCAGCTGCGGCAGACAACAGGTCAACAGTTAGCTTACGGCACCCAAAGCAGACACACTTACATCCAGGGAGGGTTCGGGCATATCCTGGGCTCCCTGACCCATCTGCCCATCTGAGGAGGGGTTAAAGTTCAGATCGCTGTGAGGATGACTGTTCTGCCCGGGATGCTGAGGCTGCGGCTGAGGCTGCGACTGGCGAGGCGGGTGCGATGATTGGCCACTGTGATGCAAGGGCTGCCCTGACTGGACACTGTGATGTAAAGGCGGCCCTGTTTGGCCGCCGGGGTGGGGAGACGCATGCAAGCTCTGCTGCTGCTGCATGGAGTTATGGGACTGATCGGAATGGGACATCTGCAAGTGCGAGAGGGCAAACAAAGAGCGACAGTGAAGGAGAGACGGGAGGGGAAAAAAGGAGGAGGATAAAGCGAGAGAGACACAGAGAGGGAAGGAGAGAGTGTTAAGGGGGGAAGGAAGGGGGGGAGCGAAATGAGTTCCAGCGTGAATAATATGGAACAGGCTTTCTAAATGGAAGCTGCGATCAGCAGACATGTACAGCTGCAACATTATACAGTGACATGAGCATGTGAGCATGACTGAGCACACATGCTGGCTAGAGGCACAGGCTGCACCTTGGTCAGATAAGAAATACAGGTTTTCAGTACGGCACAGATTCTCTAGAGTTTCTTCCTCAGACTAAGCAGCAAACATGACTAACTTAGCATCGCATTAAAAAAAAGCCCAAATATATGAAAAGCTTAATGTGCAACTTGATTCCCATAAACCATGAGCAGCCAAAGTCAGATGTACTCACTGGATCATTCATGCTATGGCTGAGGGGCTTATCCTGTGGGAGGAGACCACCAGGCCCGTCCGGAGGATGGGATAGCTGAGGTCCATGGATGAAGTCATTCATAGGGGGACCTCCTCCACCTCCTCCACCGCCAGAGGGGTTCCCGTGAGGGAAGTCGAAATTCCCCTGGGTGTGGTAGCTGTTGCCTACAAGGAGAGAAGATAAAACACATCTTTTGAAGGGGCTAACTGCAGTTTGGTCCCGCTCACTCATTTGATGAGGAATCCCTGATGTTGCAAATAAAATGTACCTTTATCAAAGCAGTTACATAACAGGATATACCCATTCTACTTTTTTTTTAACTGATGAGAAACATTTATCAGAGCAGGAACATTTTTTAGAACAGTTTCAGCATAAAACTCTCCTTGGGGCTGTTTCTTTGTTTAATGCACTAGAGACACATCAATAGATCCTGCTGCAAAATGCACAACGGCTCATTCTACCGATAAATGAGATGACTCTCCTGTTATTTTTCTACACTGCAGGACGCGGCCTGTTTTTCATTACCTGCTCCCGGGTAATCTCCCCCGTTGCCACTAACATGTTGACCGGGGTGTGGTGGGTATGGACTCGGCCCAGGTCCGGGTCCAGATCCTGGGCCGGGGCCTGGCCCTAGCTGTGCGATCATTTCCATCACATTAGGCATGGTCATCTGACTCGGGCTCATTGTTTTAAAGCGCTTGGCCAGCGGTGCGTCGGGGTCTTCTTTGATGTGTAGCTCAGACTTGATGGGGACAGGTCGCCAGCTACATGTGGGGTCTATAGTTACCTCCTCAAACTCTGAACTATTGGAGGAGAAAACAAATCATGTTGGCTTCACGTCTAAACAATTTGTGCGTGTAAAAACAGGCCAAGCAGAGTGAACTTACTTTTGGATGGCATTCAGGATTCCCCACATGTACTGATCCACCTCCAGACCTTCTAATAACGCAGTTTTACTATAAAAAAAAAACAGAATTAAAAACAACACATAAGCTACTGGATGGATTTCCTAAACGTATTTTTACACAAGCCTCCTTACTTGCACACAGGACACCTCCATGTCCCCCTCTCACAGTTGAGCTGCAAGTAGGACTCCAGATCAAAGCACTGCAGACAGAAACATCACAAATCCTCATTAGGATAATATTCTTCCATTCACTGCAACACCAGGCACGCATTTCCATTAACATTATTTCCACTTAAATGCACGCAAACCTGAACATGCTTGCAGTCATGCCCCCTCGCAGGTAGCTGGATGCGTCTGAACGTGATGGGACATTTCAAAGACACTTTAATGGCCGTCTGCTCCACGCCGTCTTCCCCGTTAAGAGTAGTGTTGCCCGCCGAGGCCGCAACGCTGCTGAAGTTTCTCTTAACTGAAAATATAAAGTGTCACAGAGGGAGCAGTCATAGATGTGCTTAAAGAACGATAAAGAGAAACAGGGTTAAGTTTACTGAATTTGGATGTATTATTGAACATTAACTACGCAAAGGAGCCGTACTCTTGGTGATGCAGTGTTCTGCAGGGAGGAGTCTCTTCTTCAGGAGCCCCTGGAGGACGGATCGCACAGATGGCCTGTGGACCAGCTGAAGCACAAACAGGTGGGACTGCAAAGAAAAGAAGCCATGAACACAAGCAGAATTAGTACAGACAGCTGAATCTCATTCATACTCCAGACAATGCAAATTGAAATCACGTGTGTGTAAATCACTCCAGCTTGTCTGAACTAATGAATGAAGCCGCTACATATCAAAGCTGCTGGTCGGTGCTCTGAGAATGCGAATACTCACACAACAGCATGCGGTGACCGTAATTTGGATGGTGTTCCTCCCGGGTTGGCAAACGTGCTTCAGGTGCAGGGGTTTGTGGGAGGTTTTGTTGTCTCCCCTCTCGATGGTGAGAGGCGTGGCGTTGACGCTGACCTGGACGGAAGCAGGCCAGTTGGTGTTCATTTGCCTGTCTTCATGATGGTAGCACTTAAACTGCAGCTCGAGGTCAGACCTACGAGAGTAACCAGAGGAATAACAGTTAGTGGAAAAAACTGGGAAAAACAAAACGACAACCGCACAGTCTGTACAATACATCAGGCACAAATAGAGGTTAACCAATTCCAATGAGTTTGAAAGTCAATCTTTGGTTTTTTTCTTGTTTCCCTTCCTTAGGATGACTTATTGTCAGACACCCATCCACTGAGACCATTTCTGATGAGGCTTCATGAATAGCAGATGGATCAAGTGAAGGGTCAGATGCCAGATTTTGGATTTTGCCTGTTTTTTAAGACCTGTAACCTCATCTTTTGCCCTCCACGTGTCCAATTTACTCAATTTTTTAAGAACATACTGCACACCCTGAAGACATATGCCAGGTTTTTGGCTCATGGTTATTTGTTTTTGGCAGCTATGAGGAAAGAACTGAAAATGACTGGAAAAGCAGGCAGTGCCCAAATAAAAACTTTGAAAGATCTCCAGAAATCCTGGAGAACTATTGCTTAAGACCACTTTATAAAAAACACGGGTGCCAGTTTAGCTCAGGGGGTGAGGAGATGTCGCAAGGCTGAATGCAACAACTCGGGTTTGATTCTGACCCACGGCCCTCACTCTCCCTCCTTTCCTGTGTACATTCACTATTACATTATCTGATGAAGGCAAAAACCTTGCAAAGAAAAGAAAAGAAATCTGCCTCCTTCGATGCAAATACAAAGAAATGAGGCGGATTGTATGTAGGCAACACTGTGCTAGCTTATGACAAATCAAGATTCTCACTATTAATAAACTCTGCAGTAACACGTGATTTAGTATAAATCTCACGTCTGTCACATTCATGTGACGCTATAACAACAGCCGAAAATAACAGCACCCACAATGTAGCAACTTTCACCACACATCCATTTTAGTGCTTGCTGTGCACATGCTGCACTAGTAACAACAAATACGAAACTGCAAGGTTTTTACCTCCACATGAGGGTCTGGTGGACGGACGGTCGAAGGTGGAAGACGTGGTTGCTGACAGCCAGATTGTGCTCCAGGCGGAACGGTTCCAGCACCACTCCGTCCCTGACTGGGAACGTCAGACGTAGTTCCTCGTTGGGGATAGCTGCAGACGAGGAAAACGGGAGAGGATGGCTTTTAATCTCAGAATGTAAATGTCAGGAGGTGATATAAAAGGATAAAAAGGACAAAAACAGACGAATGAGTCATGTGAACGACTCGTTTCAGGTCTGCTTGGGTACTTACTTGGAGGGGGCGGAAGCGCTGTCATATTTGGTTTCATGTCGGCTGGAAACGGGGGCTTCACATCCTGGTTTGGCGACAGATATGGCGGAATACTACTTCCCGGGGTCATGGGAGGTGTGGGGTTTCCGGGGACTGGAGAGTGTGGGTAGTTACCAGGCCTGGGGGGCTAAAGAAAGGTGGGGGAAGTGCAATAATCAAAAGATCTGTTAAAGTCATTTCACAGACATGAAAGGCTCAAATCTGGCACCAATGTCTTCACCTGCTAAGACAGAAATTGCACTTTTACATGGGTACGAAGGAAAAACATACCCCACTGCCTTGGCCGTAAGAGTATCCGCCTCCAGAGAAGTTGGTGCTCTGACCGTTGAAGGGCTCCTGCTGAATAAGGAAAAGCAAAAAAGAATTGATACAGTTCCCTTTAGTGCCAGGGATGCACTATAGTTTAGGTGACAAGGGTTCAAACGTCCTGATCTTCTGAACAATTCGCTTCCTTTGCCCCTCTTCTGACCCTGAATATGCATAAATGATGGACTAACAAACCTTGTAGTACTGGCTCATGGGCATGCCAGGCGGGTACTGCCCTTGGCCCTGTTGCCCCGGCATCCTCTGGCTGGGGTAGTTAGGAGAGGGCAACGGTCTGGAGGCATTTGATGAGGGATATTGCCCCTGCTGTTGGAACTGACTGTTTGGCCCATACTGCTGACCTCCATAGCTTCCCTTCAAGAAGAAAGTTAAAAAAAGAAGAAAAGACATCATATATATATATACATGTCTCAGGTGCTACAACAAGAAGAATATTCATGTCTGATATTTCCACTCACATCCCCAGGATATGGCCTCTTTATCCCCTGCATGGGTATGGCCTGTCGAGGTCCACCGGGATAACCTTGCTGAGGCATCCTCTGGCTGTGAGCTCCAAAAGGCGTCATGCCTGGGGTTCTTGCCTGGTTTATACCCATTGGAGGCCCGCTCATATTGGGGTTGTTCATGGCAGATCCCATGCTGGATGGATTCATTCCCCCAGGGGGACCTCGTGGGCCTGGCTGATTCATAAACTGGCTATTGTAGGCTGGAGCATGGCCCATCTGGAACGATGGACACATCTGGAGAAAACCGAATAATTAATGGCTACATTTTGCAGCAGGTAGTTACCGTGTACCTAACATCTTCCTCCATCAAACTGTTTGCCTCATAGCAGATGTGTACTGTACCTGTCCATACTGGTTCATGTCTTTATTCTGGGTTTCCTGCAGAGCCGCTACAGTGGCTGTTGCAGTGGCTGTCGCGGTAGCAGCGGCGGCAGCAACAGCAGCAGCTGCAGCTGCAGCAGCTGGCTGGGTGAAGTCACCAGGAGGACGTGTGTGAGAGGCCATTCCCATACCTCCTGGTGGTGCATTCGGTCCTCCAGAGTAACTGATGAACACATGATTTATGTTTTAACTACTTTTTTTAAAACCGGAGCTGCTGTCTTAATGAATAAAAAAGAAGACTGGTATCCTGTTTCTCACCTCCCGCTGTATCCTCCAGGACCACCGGGGTAGCCGGGCCTGCCGTACATGCTCTGCTGCATGTATGATTGGCTGGAACCGCCTTTATTTGGGAACTGTTGCTGCTGCGCATTGAACTGGGGTGAATTGAGCCCTGCTGCATTGCCAGACATGCCCGATCCCACTGGGTTACCCCCAGGATTCATGGGGTTATTGCTGTTTGCCATTGGGTTGCCCAGCACCTATATTTAACAAAGAATCAAAGAGGAAGTGAAACTATCTGCTAGGTTTGTGCAATAAACCTGTCTTAAAACTGTTTGCTGAACTCATATAATTACAGAGTGGGTGCTTTTCATGCATGGACATACCTGACTCTGTGATGTGTTGGTAACGCCCCACACTGTTGTAACCACGGACAATGACCCAGGGGGCTGATTGGCGTTTTGTTGCCAGGGGACAGAGTCATAGGGAAATGAGCCATCACTGGGAAACAGATCAAAACACAAACATGTGCCTGATGTCACTTAAAGTTCTGAGTAACTCTGGGGTTTCTTAAGCCGAAATGTTCATTCAATTTAAATGTCTGGCGTTGAGTTTCACACCACATTTTGAGCCAGGGAATCTGCTAATGACTGCACAAGTAAGATGAGTCAAAATTTCCAAATGTGCCGATAAGGACTCGTCTGTCCGCACGCACCGGTAAACATCTAAGTTCTTCGGATAAGGATAGGTAGTACACATCTGGAATGTTTAGCGTTCAGATTTAAAACAAATAGAGTAAAATACGAGATTCTGTTACACATGATAAACAAGCTAAGTCTCCATGAGGGGAGAGGCAAGTGGCCAGCAGTGTGGGAGGGAACTGCTGCTCTTGGAAGGCACCCTGTTTTCCCTCAGAGGTTAGGTCTCAGAATGGACGACATGTTCAATATTTCCTCATAAATACACATTATCCCAAGATCTTCAGCAGAAGCAAACAGGACTCTTGGCTAACTCCAGGCTTTTTTTCCCCCTTCTTCTTTTTTTGTTTTTTTGAGAGAGGTCCGAGCACACACTGTTCTCTAAAAGCATTACCTCACATCTGTCTTCCCTCTAGGTTTGCCCTTGCACTTCACATCACTTCACTTCCACAATTTTCTTTGGCTTTTCTCCAATCAGTGGAAACCCTCATGAGGCCTGAATGTTAGATGTGAACCTTAATTTCTTTAATGACTTCCTCTGATGCCTTATATACACTATATTGCCAAAAGTATTCACTCACCCATCCAAATCATTGAACTCATGTGTTCCAATCCCTTCCATGACTACGGTGTATTTAAGCACCTAAGAATGGAGACTGTTTCTACAATGATCTGTGAAAGAACATGTTGCTCTCAGGAACTCCAAGGTGGTACTGTGATAGGACGCCCCTTGTACTGCTAAATATCAGTCAGCTGTTATAACAAAGTGGAAGTGATTGGGAACGACAACAACTCAACCATGAGGTTGTAGGCCACGTAAAATCAGAGAGTGGGGTCAGCAGGTGCTGAGGCGCACAGTGCACAGAGGTCGCCAACTTTCTGCAGTCAGTCGTTACAGACCTCAAAACTTCCTGTGGCCTTCACAGTGTGTGGCAAACTTCATGGAATGGGCTTCCACGGCCAAACAGCTGCATCCAAGCCTTAAATCACAAGCTCAGTTAAAGTGTCAGATGCAGTGATGTAAAGCGTGCCGCCACTGGACTCGAGAGCAGTGGAGACGTATTGCCTGGACTGACAAATCACACTTCTCCACCTGGCAATCCGATGGGTGAGTCTGGGTTTGGCGGTTGCCAGGAGAATGCTTCTTGTCTGACTGCACTGTACCCAATGTAAAGTTTGGTGGAGGGGGATTATGGTGTGGGGCTGTTTTCAGCAGTTGGCCTCAGCCCCTTACTTCCAGTAAAAGAAACTCTTAATGCTTTAACATTTTGGACTTTGTGGAAACAGTTTGGTATGGAAGAACTTGACTGGTCTGCACAGAGTCCTAACTTCAACCTGACAGATCACCTTCGGGATGAACTAGAGTGGAGACTGTTATCCAGGCCTCATCGTCGATTATCAGTGTGTGATCTCAGAATGGTGAAAAATTCCCATAAGCACTCCTAAACCTTGTGGAAAGCCTTCCTAGAAGAGTTGGAGCTGTTATAGCAGCAGAGGCTGGGCCGACATAATATTAAATAATAATAATAAACCCTATGGACTTAGAATGGGATGTCTCAAGTTCACATGCATGGGAAGCTGGCAATATATTGTACATTGGTGATTCAGATGCAGTTTCCTTCCACCACACACTTTATTGAAAATGTGACTTTACTGCGAGCCAACTGCAGCAGGCTTTGTAATCTGACAGGGCATGTATCTCACCTGTGCGTGAGGCCGGGCTTCATGCTGTTCATGCCGGGCTGCATGGGGACTTTCCCCTGCGGTTCGTTCTGTCTGTTCTTCTGGTGACGCAGAAGGAGGAGGCGACCCAGCTCCTCGCACCACGACGACAGCAGGGCTGCAAGGAGAGCACAATGACAGGTTCATGATTCCTCGTGTGCACAACTGGTCCGCACTGGGTACTCATGTATTATCAGACGCATGTTTATGGCTCTATGGTTGCAAATGATCACACAGAATGTCGCTTATAACAGAGTTTTAAAGTTTTCCTTCAATAAACACAATTACAGGTGTCTAACGGTTGCAGCTTGATGTTACTGCTAAAGCCTCCAGGGGGCAGCCTAATGCAACACTTCCATTATCAATCGCTTTGTGTAGTTACCACAACAGCTGCCTTACACGTCATATCAACCTGCAGAGTCAAATATAAACTGAGATCTATGTACAGCACAAAGGACCTCCCAGTTTTCTCTGCCACTGTGAGGAAAAAGCTGAAATGGAGCGTGAGAGGCAGACACCAGTGAGTGATTGGGGTTACAGATAAGAGCCGTGTAGAAAGTAAGAAACAGTAACATCTTCAGTCCTCCACTTCCTTCATTCATCAGCACCACTTTATTCTTTGCCTCGTTGTCCTCTCATGTCTCTAAGGACTAATCAGACAGCCTTCTCATCCTGCCTTCATGAAGATAAGAGTTGGGATTTTTTGTTCTTGTTCCAATGATGTGCCAATTTTATTTGATTTTGTTGTGTTTTTTCCCAATGCCAATCAAGTTGTCTTCGATGGGTTATTTGAAAGTTGCCTTGACAAACATCAGCCTAACAAAAGAAAGGTTACCGTGTTCATCATTTTATTAAATAGTTTAAGATGCTATTTATAGCCTTGTAGAGCCAGATACAGCAGCTTTTAGAAGGTGCTGTTACTAGGTTTGGGGTGGGGGTGGGGGGTGTTACAAAGTCCATGACACTGAAATTGGCACTGCATTAAGATTTACACCATGTCTAAATGAAAGGAAATTAAAAACATGACATGACAAGTGATTATTTCTGAAGTCACTCGAAAAAGACAAGGAGTGAAAGGAACAACAAAGAAAGGAGAGAAGGGAAAAATAAAGAAGAGGAGCGGTTACATTTTCCTCTGCAGGGTGGAGAGAGCCAAGCCTCCTAGTTAAAGAGGAATTATTCCACCCTGCCATTACGGAGAGCTTATCTCCCCACTAAATCACCACCTCCACACAGAGGGACTGTCTCTTCAACAGGCAACCCACCATTTAGACCTAAAACTCCAAGCTCGAGTGATGGGAGTTGCTTTGAGGCAGGGAGAGACAGGCAGAGGACAAAAGAGAGCAATGGCGACTTATCACATCAGTGTGGTTATGAGCTACTGAATCTAACAAGCTGCCAAGGCCAGATGTCATTCATAATAGAGTGAGGGTCTGCTCTGGGCGTCGTGCATATTTAGCGAGCTTAGTACAGTGTACATGACCTTGTTTTCACCTCACAGCCCCCTGTGTTAAAACCTCTGCCAACACTATCACACACCCACAACTTGCCCGCCATACTCCTCTCGCTTTACCTCTTTATGGCCCTCCTCTTTACAGAGCCCCGCATGCCCTCGGTCCTCATACAAATTTAAATAGCATTCTGATGGCATCTGTCTCTACTACTATCCATTAAGTTGTTTTGTTGACTTCACTAATGGAGAACATGAGGTGCAGATGTCAAGCGTGCAGACAACACAGCCAACAAAAACAGAAGAATATAAAGACAAGGTCTCCGTCTCATTACACCTCTCTTTATTTCATCTTTCTATTCATTCCTGTTGAATGAATAGAAAGATGAAACTAAAGCCTTCAGTTTGTTCTGGAGGTGCTAACAGCTGGCTGGTTGAGACAAGTTAAGGTCAGCTACTTAAAGATTCTTCCTTAAAGCCTTTCTCACTCTCTTCCGTCTTTTGTTTCTAATATTAAAGAATGCCATGTTTCTATTCTCTGGTATCTTTAACATGATTGCAACTTTACTTAAGAATGAGAGAATCCTGAAACCAGCAAGATTACTGAGAAAGCTTTGGGAAATGGTACTTTTAAGAGTGATGGGAGGTCTTCTGGCTCTTATGGCTCCCAAATGGCTCTTCAATCGGAGCCTTCTATTTTAGCCTAATTTATTAATTATAAATATTTTGTGTGCTGGGAAACTTTTTTTAATGCATCATTTTGACACAAGTCTTATTTTTGTGAATTCAATACTGCTATGGGAGAACATACATGGGGCTTAAGGCCTGCAGTCTACAATATCCTCGAAATGCGTCGTTACTTCACTTTTTCCTTGCATTTAAATCCGGCTCCCTGTCTCTCTGTTGCTGTGTTCCAGATACCTTGGAGTTGCGTCACTCCCTAGTTAGCACGTTCCAGATACAGTGAGGGAAAATTTATTTTGGTTCTTAGCAACTTAGAGCCATTCAGGTATCACTAGCAACACAGCATAATACTTATTTTTATGCTCTTAAAAAAACACAATCGTGGATAAAGCCTGATCTGTCACATTTAGTGAGTTACAAATACACAACAGTGGCAAAACAGGTTCAAAGTTTACCGTTTTAGTACTATTTATGTTCAGTGCTGCCATCTTGGATCGCTAACTCAGGTTATGTTGGTCTGCTCCAACTTTCCGGGAAATCCAAAGTGACGTGGTGTTCCACAAAAAAATCATCTAAGGGAACACGAAAATTTGTACCCGGTCTGTACGACTACCCTCGCTGTCTTCCGAACTGATGCCCCCCTTCCTTCTTTTACATAATGGTATAATCTAAGTCTGAAACTGCAGTTCCACAAATGACCACTTGAGGCTCAAAAAACATCATAAAATGCCCAAATTTTACAGCACAATTAAACGTTTTTACGTTTCTGTACCAGCCTGACATTTAAAGTGTTTTGGTTCTTATTCCTATATAAATGTCACCATTCATGAAAAGTATGGAGTCAGGTGGGTCTTGACACAGTTCACGAAGCCTTTTTCCACCCGACGATCACGTGATCATTCCTGCTGTACATCTTTGAGGTACATCGTCTAAGCTGCACGTGTAGCCGGTGCACTGTAATGTAAATTCTCTGCAGACAAATCAGCATAGTCACAGGTGAAAAGCTAGTGGGCCATTTAAAAAAGCTAGAATGAGTTTACAATATATAACCCAAGCATGGCCACTTCTGGCTCCAACCCCCTAACCCCCAAAAAACCAAACAAACCACATGGTAACCTAAAGGCTTCACAACACTCATCCACTAAACAACGGGTTACTCACAGTGGCTACATCTAGCTTTAAACAGTGAGATTACCCTATTTCTGCTGAATAGCTACACTGTCAGGGCTACTTGATAATGTGCTGACAGTTTACACTTGGGTAAAAAAGTACAGAGATTGTAGCTGATGGAGAAAGTGTTCCTGAAACTACTTTCTCGAGGCATCAGTCTGACTGTCTTTCACAACAATAACATCATAAACTGCTGTTTTTACCTGCATCGAAGAGTCAGCTCTCAGTTACGCCGTGCTGTGCTTTTAAATAGTTCCATCATCAAATTCTTTCGAAAGCATTTAATAGAGAATCTCCTTGTCCTTGACTTGCAGCTGGTGAGCCCACAGATATTCAGCAAATGAGTTTATCTAAGCTAATCTCACCATCTGAGACTTTCTAAAAAGCATTCAAAAAGCTGACAGAGAGTCAAGCGCTTCTTCCTAATACATGACTAAAACCACAGTTGCTGATCTGCCTGACTAATATCTGTAGACAACGGTGACATTCAAGCCTCTGGGGCTCATCTGAAGTTACTATTCTGTTCTAACAAGTTTCAGTGAATTCTCCGGCCTTAAACAAAGCCTCCTCCTGAGCACATAGACTGCTCTGCAGGGAGAGCTGGACATAAGCTGAAGCTCTCGTGAACCCGTTCCAACCATCTCTGTTTCTTAGAAGGTGGGACTTTTAATTGAATAATGCCCAGAGACATATGGGTCCTCCTCACTCAAGCTGTATTTAATGCTATATGGCTGACTGATAGCAGAAGCCCTGGCTCATTCTCACCTCACCTCAGCCCCTCTGGGAGCAGAAGGGAGGGAGAATAAGCCCTGGTAACAGGCTGCAAGGCCCATTAACTAATGACAGAGTGTATGTACAAGTCCTTTTTACAAGGAAACCCAAATGCTAATTACTATGAACTCTGGCAGTGCTGTGTGTGTGTAAGCATCTGCGTGTGCGGTAAAAGCCTTCTGCTACTGAGCATATCATTTCCCTTAGAAATCCTGACAGATTGCTAATACTTTAAATGTATCCGCCCTAATATAATTAAGTTAGCCGCAAGACAGCGACCCCACTTTGTTGATAAACACCTGACCTGTTCTGAAATATGAAGCCGGTGCTCTGCCACGTATAAGCGCAAGGTATTCAACTTTCAGCAAAGATGCTGAAGGCAACAGCAAAAGAGTGCTGCTGTGCTGTGGCCCTAAATCACTGTACTAAGTGTACTATTGTGTGGTTAAAGATTTAAAGAGTGAACACAGCGAAGCAGCCCTGTGTCTGAGCATGCCAAGTGCAGAGGTAAAGTGAACTTCCACCCACTCAAACGACTATTTCAGAGGGTGACATCTGCATTAAAAGAGGAACAGAGTTCACCACGCATTTAATACAGCGTAATTATAGTGTGTATAAATAAAAGTAAATGAAAAAACAAAACAGGCAGGCCATTTTGGCGGGTGCAAGCACTGGCATATTACACATTTTATAAAAATGACTGAAGATGTGAAGTCGTTTTAAATATGATCAATACGCAAACATTAAGAAAAGAAGCTGGGCAAAACTGCCCCACCACGGGTTTTTTGTTTTGTTTTTTTTTCAGCAGAAGAACGTAAAGACAGCATCAGCTGAGGTGCAATATCAAAAGTATATTATGGCAGCCATGTTTCCAAAATGGAATTAAAACAGTAGAAATCAAAAGAAAAGAGAATGAGCTGATGTCTAAATACCGTGAACTACGACTAAAAGAAAGTACTGTTGAGTTTTCAAAGCCTGTATGAGAAGAGTGCTCCGGAGCCCTTTCCCTTTTCTTTTTTTTTAAAGCTTGCATGGCAACTGAAATTCAGTGCAAGAGAAGTGCACCTGTTTCCTCTTAAGACTGCAGTTACAGCCATGACTGCACTGTGATACCATGATACTGATATGGAATATCTATTACTGACACAGTATCACGTAGCAGCTGGAGGGCTTGGCTGTTTTATGCATACATATTTAAGGGTTAGCTGCGTTCAAGAAAGCTGCTAAAAGGAGATGTTACATAAGACTTTCTGAGCCTCATTAGTTTGGATGGCAACACAAAGAACGGCTGAAGGAGTTTTATGAAGTAGAAACAGGTAGAGATTTCTTGCTGCTCGTACTCCTCTTTGTACGATTCTGACAGAAGAAGCAACTGCAAAGTATAAACTCGGTTAAATAGCTTAATGAGGTTGGTTTGCACAAAAGCTCAAACACGTTTGAGCCACATTCAGCAAAAGCATTGTCCTAATTGTGGAGGATTTAATCAGTTTAATCTTCAGCAGGAATGCACATCCCTCATACTGTACACTCTCACATCAAGCCTGATCCTAAAATTACCACAAAAAAAAGAAAAGAAAAAAAGCCTCTGTCACAAGTCGCGGCACGCTTTGATAGAACATAACACCGAACATGCAGCTCTACTGTAGTTTTTGTTGATAACAAAACACACACACACACACAAAAAGAAAATACTACATGAAAAATTACACTTTCTGAGCATGAACACTGCGGCACTAGACAAAGAAGCCTTCTGAGACAATGTGTGGGATGATAAAAAAGAAAAAAAAAGAAGCAATTTATAATAGATATAAAAAGCAGAGGTCTGTAAAACACTGGCAGGTAGAATTATGCTGTGTGGGTACAAAATATTATGCAAAATACAAATATGGAGGGGATATAAAATCCTGTGGAAAAAAAAAAAATCATGCTTTTTGCCGAAGTGTAATGGAAGCCATTTAAGCAGTCAATGATATCCCCCTTCCTGCCCCCTCTCTGTTAAGCCAACTTCTTCCAAGAGAAGAGCATATCAAATGGGCTTTAGTCTCAACAGCTTGGAGGCAGAACAACTCAAACATGCCCTGCAGAGAGAAAGCTCTATGTCAAAAAATCACAGTCGACCAAAACCAAGCCTTTAGTTTAACGTTCACACGAATCACAGTGTTCCAGATCTTCTAGCTTGAAAGTGCCTCGTTTTGTTTGGATTTTTCAAAAAGACTTGATTATTGCTTTTTGTTAATTTGAACTGAAAAGCAAAGCGACTTCCTCATCGGGAAGACTTCCATCCTCAACCTCTGGCTGTACACCAGATATGAGGACAGAGGGGGGGGTGGAGGATGGATGGAAGGATGCTAGACAAGAGGACAGGTGGAGATGGAGGGAGTAGGCAGATCCCCTCCTCCCCTGGATGTGTGTGTGTGGGTCACAAGCCAAAAGAGATGCTGCAGCCCAAAAGGGAGGGTAGCTCTACCTGAATCACTCTGACATCTCCTGCAGGTGCTGGTTTCTGTGGGGTTCAAATTACACATTTTTAAATGTGGCAGAGTTATGAGAATCAGAATAAACACCAAACATAATGCAGTATGACGGCTAGATCTGAGCAGAAGGTTGAAAGTGCTGGAGGATCTCCGTGCTGCCACCAAAAACACTCTTTATTATGTTTTTAATGTATTCATTTGCAGGTAAGCTGAGCTTGACTGAGACTCCCTGCAAAGATTCACATTTCCTGCCATAGTATTTATTGCAGATTTAAATGGTCGCTCTAATGCAAAAGATATTTTCATTATGTGTGCCATATATAATATATTAAACTACAAAATCCAAGCCAATCCTTTGTATATAACACATATGCACCCTAAAATGCTGGTTCAGTAAAATCAAAATATACGTTCTGGTTAATCTACAGATTATTTACTGCTTGTTTAACCAACCAAAAGTCCAAAACCTTGAAATAGCTTTTTTACAGGGACATGCAACTTAAATAGTTGCGGACTCGTTTTGCTTCCCTTAAATCTTTCGTGCGGGGAAATCTTCATGCTTGCTTTGGTTACATTTGCTATAACTGGGAGTATAAAAATCAGGTGACTTGCATCAGATGCAACAGAGCATGTCCTCCATAAACTTCTCAGCCCTGGGGGGTCACGAGCATCCGTCCGTGATCACACAGCCACAATCCACAATAAAACAAAATGCACTGTTGCACTCAAAGGAATCTGGAAACAAGCATGCTCGCATACAAGGACAGAAAAGCAGCTAAAGTAAATATGAAATCTGCGGTCTGTGCTGGTGAGCAAACAAACACATTCGGTCTCTTGGCGTCGGGGAAGATGTGCTTAAACAGTAAAGCACCTCGAATAGCTCGAAAGAACATCAGAGAGGAGCAAGCTGTGAATGAACTGCTCTTATCAGCCACGTGCAGCTCGCCACCACTGGAGGGAACGAGCAAATATCACATGCTTAATTATAACTAGACACGCTACTTGTCTCAACTTCCACAATGAGTCTTTCATCTCACACTGTTGTTGCTTCAATGAAATCATTAGGGTGAAAAACACAATCAGAAATTCTGAGATTTCCCGCGGCTGCTCTTTCATAATCTAAGACAATGATTAAAAAGTGATGAAATTCCAGCTACGGAAGCTGGGTTTTTCGGGTTTTTTTTGCACATGAATCAGTAAACAGCGATTTCATGAGGAGCGGCCATGAGAGGCCATCAGCACACCTCGACTAGATGGGGGAAGTCACCGCCAAGAATGGAGAATTTCACTGTTTCCTGAAACACTTCCTGCTGTCCTGCCCTATTGCTCCTCCCCCACTGATCATATCAATACCCGGCATCGGCTTGTCCTGCCAGAAATCCCTTGCTCAGATTCTCCAGTCATAAATCGAACGCAGTTTCGCTCGGGCCACACTTGCTCGTGGTGGGTGGAGTGACACATGTAAGGCATGGTAATGATTCACAGAAAAGAAAAAAAATGGCAAAACAAACTGCAAAAACAAAGTAGGCCACACACACACACACACACACACACACACACACAAACACATCCAGTTCAAATGTCAGGAATGAGTCACTAAACAGCCTGATGGGAAGTACTCAGAGTGCACTCACTGGAGTTCACCAAAGTGTGTGGAGTAAGTGATACAAACAAAGCGCTGGAGTCAGAGAGAAAGGAGGAAGGCTAGAGGGGGAGAGCGGCTGCATGTGGCTGCGAGGTTGAGGATGCAGACGGTTTCAGTGGTTTACACCCTGCTCAGGCTAACAGGAAGTGCTGCAGCGCCACTACCGCTAGCTGGAAGTCATATTGTGCCATAATATAAATATGTATATTTCTTTTCTTTTTTTTAACCGCCGGTCAGTGAATGGTTACGATATTGTTTACAAGGGCCATTTGCTAATTAACTTGTCAGTTGTAAGGTTAGATTAAACACTGATTGAATACCCTGCAGCGTCCTCATGTTTTTATTGCCTGGCTGCCCTTTGCTCATTCAAATTCTGTTACCCTTTAAAAGACGCACAGCTGACAACACGGCGGACATTAAACACTTTTCAGCATCATTGAAAGACTGAAAGAAAAAAAGAAAAACTAAACCAGGCCTTTCTGTGCACTCATCCAACTGCATTGTCCTTCCATGACTACACTCTACACCCCCCTCCTTCCTCCTCTCCCTTCTTCTCTCCTAATGAGTGGACAAGCAGACAGGCTCTGGCTCCAAGCACAGGTCAACAACTTAAAAAAAGAATCCACAATGGAAAAGTGGGTCATCTTTTCCTGACTGAAAGAGGGACACTGACGCACGTAGTCCTAACACCAACATGAGCACGACCTCTCTTACATTTCATAAATCTGAAGGATTTTACTAGCTATACGATGCTGCATAGCCACCAGGGCTCATACAATCATAGTGTAGCACTGTAGCATTTCTATAATTGTAATATTAAACTGACAACCCTAAATCCTAACTCAAGATAAAACTTAAAACAACCTAAGTGTAATGCACTGTGAAGTGTGTGTTTGCACACATGAAACAGGCAGTCAGTGTAACCCCTATGACAGAACAGCATGTAGGTCAACCTGTGGTCAGCTGATCTCTTCTGATCCTCTCTGGTGTGTTACACTACTACAAAGCTAGAAGCCTGTATTATTAAGCCTGAAATGCACAAATGTCAAGGCACAGCTGAAATGATTATTCCTATTTTAAATGTACTAAAATAACATACTTTAAAGAAACACTGCAGCTAATTGTTGCTTTTTCTTCTTGTATCAATCATAGATCAAAAGCAGTTGCTCAACTGGCCTCTGCTAACCCCCTGATCATCCGCTATGCATACAAACACACTCGCTTAATACGCCAAATAGTTCTGTGCTAGAGAGGCACGTGGAGGGGGGAGCACACACACACAGACACACACACACACACACTCTCTCTGACACTTACCCAGAGCCGGGCAAAGTCCCTGCACATCTCATCTCATTCCCTTCATAGCGCAGAGAAAAGACTCAAGTGTCACAAATGCTCCTATTTCTGCAGAGGCCAGTGGCAACTCTCAAAGCTTTTTGCTGCTTCCAAGCCTCCTGTGCCTGTGCCTTATCACTCTCACTCTCTGCACAGATCTCTCACTCTGCTCACTCTTTTCTTACTTCCTCTGTCCTCTCCTGTCTTTCTCCCTTCTCTCCCTCTCGCTCTCTTTTCGCTTTCTTTCTCCTTCCTTGCTCTCTGATCTGTCTTTTTCCCTTGTCCAGCGTCTGCACAATGCACATCAATTATTCAGAGGCAGTCTCCCAGTTTCTCCAGCTTATCCAATCAGAGCAGGGCTCTGCACTAATGGGCTCCTGCTGTACCTGCTACCGGCTCCAACACACTCTTGAGACAGCAGAGAGGAGGAGGAGGGGGGGTGGATAGACAAGAGGGAGCAGTGGAGGAGGGAGGATGAGAGGAAGAGATAAAGACAGCGAGGCGACGCAGACAAACAGGACTAGCGATAGAGACGGCAAGATATTTGCAGCGCTTCTCACCTCAGTTGTAAGGTGCCGTTATTGATGTGTAGGTTCTAGCTCTCCATTGCTCTGTCTGTCTAAGCTGTTACACAGTTCACTGAGGAACACACACATGCATGATCCAGCAATGTGACTGCCATTTGTCAGGAAGGGCAAAGAAAACCAGAAGAAAAAAAAACAAAACAAAAAAACCCTGCAAGCTCAGATTGCAAACTTGCATAAATGGGTGGAGCTTAAAACGCTGGCTGGAAGCCTACACACGAGGAAGGAAGTGGGAGAAGAAAAAAAGATCAATCTTTTCAAAGACAGACAAGAAGTAAGTTATCGGGCTTATCAGAGAGGGGGACTCCTGCCCGCAGGACAATAAAATTGGCCACTGACAGCGGCCACTTTGCGCATCCAGCTAAGAAGACACGCCAGAGACTAGCAGAATATCTGAAGCAGATGAATAAAAATGCGAGGCACACAAGGGTGAATCTGAGTTCATTGTCTTTGCGCGCCCACCTCTTAATAATGAACAGGAAAGACCTAACCTGACATTGTTCTCGCTGCCCTTACCTAAATGCTAAGATGGGGCCGCACAGTCAAATAAAGAAGAGGGAAAAGCCCACGGGCCTCGTGACAGCTGAATAAAGTTTTTCTTTTGTGTGGTTTTTGTGCAGCGTACGCAGTCATTAACAGTTTCACAAATGTCCCACGCATAATCGAAACGCACAGACACAACAGAGGCATTGTTGGCCAGAAATATAACTTTAAAAGGGTGTGTCGAAAGCCCCTGGGGGGGAGATGATGGTGGGGGTGGGGGTGTTGGCTGAGGTCCTGAGATGTGGGTGCCAGATCAGTCAACCCTGAACAAAAGGAGGATTTAAATCATTTGCTCATCCGGTTTTGACAAGAACAAAGTCTTCTGTGTGTGTGTGTGTTGAGTACAACTGCACTGTCCTGTCAGCTGGGATATTACTAAAATGAATTCGCTTGTAACTGTATAAACCAAACCAATTAAGGAGTGTGTGATAGAGGGCCCAATCAGCCAGAGGCAGCAAATGCAGCTTCCATAATAAGTGTTTCCCCGTGAGTTTTATTTCTATAAAATTAATAGTAAAGTTCTGAAGGTAGTTTTGGGGGTTGCAAAGGGGTTTCATCATCTAAAATGAACCACTGGAGAGTGTCAGAAGAGAGGCACGTCTGCTAAAAATAAACCCAGTTTCCTGTTAATAATTCAGAGCCCTGCACTTACTCAGCAGTAATTAAATATAAAAGTCTGTAAGGTTGATTGGGTCAGTAACAAAGGATGCCTACACCTTCCTCTAGTTGTACATACACATGCACGACTCAAAGATGGAAAGAAAGACGGGCCGAGAAAATCAATCAGGTGAAAGTAAATTGAAGCAGATAAGTGGAAGACATGTCAGATTGTTGTAGGCTAAGAGAAGAAAGACAAGGGTTTGTGTCTACGCACAGGCGCTCACACGGTGTGCCTACACAGAGGCTAATAGGAGGACTCATTCTCTTGCAGTTCTTGTTAAAGTGAGGGAGTTTACTGGCTAGTGAAGTGTGTGTTTTCACAGGACATGGGGGTGAGTTACAGCCACACCCTGGAAGTTTTCTGTCACTGTTGACACAGCAGAGCGGCTGTTTTCCTGATCTGAGCTCTGAGCGTGCTCCGCTGACTGACAGAGAAACACCAGCTTTGCCAATAAATTTCATAAATGTCAGATTGTCAGTCGAGTGGGTGGAAGGGACTCCACCAGCCACCTCGAACAAAGCCTTCTCATCATTGTTTCCTCTTTTTTTCTCAAATACTCGTTGTTAACCAGCTGAAGCAGGGAAACTACCCTAACATGCAAAACACAGCGCAACACACTGATCACTTGTGTAGATATTCGTAGATCTAAAATCGCCCACTACACCAATGATAATGTAGTTAGTAGTTAGTTTATACTCTGCTATGCAGACATATCCATTAAAGCCCAACAGATATAGGACTTTTAAAACCGATACTGATATTTGGTGATTTTTAAACTAACCAATAGTTTGATATATTAGCTGATATTTTTTTTCTTTCAGAGACACTAAACATAAACAGATTTCATTAACATTTGCTATGCGTAGTTACTTATTTACTTGTTTACGCTCGTGGTTGTGTTTATGGCATTGCTAACATGTGTCGTGGAAGATTCAAAGCGCCCTCTGGTGGGCAAACAATGCAACGTCAACACTCGTAACATGGTTGAAGGGTGTTTCTCCCACCTCGTCTTTGTATATAAATTTTCATTTATCTGCTGTTATAAGTGCAGACACAGACAGATTAATATCAGCCAGTAATCTCTACCCACCTATACATTTGTAAGTAACCTATCTTAATAAGAAGCATATCTCTTTAGCATGCATTTGATTAATCCAGACAAAGCAGGTATGCGTCACCATGGCAACCAAGTGACCATAGCTTTAAAACGTTGTATTTTAATCCAAGGCACAATCTTTTTCTAAACCCAACCTCACAGTTTTAGACCATAGCTTTAACCCAGTAGTTTTAATGTCCAAACTTATTCAGGAAAATATTTTTAAATAATAACTTACTATTTTACAAACTTTTGTGAGACTGTGCAAAAGTATCTCTGTGAAACAGACAAACAGAGAGGAGAGAAAGGAGAGGAGACACAGGTCATGTGAAGATGATGTACTTGAGTTTATGACTTGTTATGCACAGCTTTCCAACAAGTGCACATCCATCTAAATTCTCTGGTTGAGATGAAAGCTTTGTTTAGTTCTAACCTTGAGCACCTTGCCATTGTCCCGTGTTCTCCTGGCAACGATGGTTCTTGTTTTTGCGTTTTCCCCTCCGCTGACTGGAAAAGCACCTTTTCTGTTTTACTGACTTCTCCTTTCACAAACTAAGCAGGAGGAAAAAACCTACTGCTTAAAACTTCAGCACCGGGAACCAGTATTGTGAGCGAGACTTGCTAGTACAGGAGAGCAGGCTACAGGAAAGCTGCTGAAGGAGGGGGTGGGGACTAGTTTGCAAAATCATATATATATTTATAGCATTACACGAAAGCTAGAGTTAAGTCTATGCCATGTTAAGGCCTGGAAAAAATGTTAAATATCTCATTTTAATGTATGCAGATAAGGTTTTACAGTTCAAATCATTGTTTGGATAGGGACTTTAACCTTCTGTGTAAATTACAATAAAACTCGAGATTCCAGTCTAAATAACTATTACGTCTTTGAGTTAGACAAAGGGAAAACAAGCAGCAACCTGTGTGTATCTTAAACATTAAAGCTAAAAAAGCTACCATTCCAGGGAGGAGCCGCCTCTAATCCAGGGCATGTCGAGTCACGCTGGAAACATATACACATTCAAAACAATCCAAGTCACACTTCAGATGTAATCCGAGTACAAACAACAGGAGGAGATATTGTCAAGGAGATGAAGTGACAAGCTGATAACTGCAGATAACTAAAGCTGATCTTGGTGACAATTTGTGAAGCTTTTCCTTCATAAAAGGAAGATAACTAACTGTTTATGAGTTTATATTCAGAGTAGCAGATTCGCTAAAAAAAGCAACAAAAAAAGCCTCGACAGATTATGTGGTTAATCTAATTTCTTATGTGTTGTGTTTTGTGCATTTGTAAGGTGGAAAGGGCGCCTCTATCATCTAATGAACCTCTGAGGTGTAAGCATATTTGTGCTAGACTACAGATTATTGGGTGTAAAACATAAACACAGATTTACTTACGTTTATTTTTCTTTTAACCTGAGCTTATAGCATGCCTACTCCAAAAAAAATAAAATAAACATGGAGCAAAACATCAGTGCTAACAATCCTACTATGCTAACAGCAGTAATGCTGTGTATCTTTGCTGGTTCTGAGAGTTAACAGTGCTAATGCTACGTTGCCTAACAGCAGATAGGTCTCTTCTCTGGCTGATTCCAGATTAGAGCAACATACTAATCCCCCAGGCTTCACTGCAGGGTCACAATCTCCAGACAGCTCATCGTCAGCTGCCTGCTGTTGCTGAAAATCTTTCTACTTCACTCGACAGATCTCACAGTCAGCAGTTTATACTTTCATACTGTGCAACTATGTCTTTGTACTTTGTTCATGGGTTCAATTACTTGCGAGACACTTAATTGAGACACACAAAAGAGTTGATGTAAATATTAAAATGCAAAATTAGCCTTCTTGGAAACCTAAAAGTTTAGTGATTCATTTCTAATATGTTCACTCAGCATCTATTTGCATTCATTCTACAGTCATTTGTGGCTGCAGTTTAAAAAAAAACACACAAATATAATTTTAAATGTTTTTGTTGAACTGCTCAAATGGAGGGTGGGGATAATTGTTTTATCAATTTCTTATTTGACTGATGCTTTCAAAGAAAGTGTCAGTGTGATTGATCTGCAGTCTGCCTCCATCCCTGAGGAGCCTACAGATAGCATCCCAGACTCCTTGGCCCTTGTCTGGGCTCTCAGGTGTCAGATTCACAGGCTTCTGTCGCCATGCAGACTCCAACAACATTGTGCAGGAGCTGCACAATTAGACACACACGCATGCATAAATGCACGTACATACACACGCGCACGCAAGGCAGGTGAAAACACACAAACAGCCAACACTTCCCTGCATCTCTTTCTGAGCGCATGGATGTATCTTTGATTTCATGCACACATCTTGTCTCCGCTGTCATCCCCTTGTCTGGCTTCTCAGACAGACGTCCTTGTAAGGGAGCTAAGACGGACGCTCAGTGAGTAAGATCTGCCCTGAGTCATATCTGCTTCCCACCCCAGCAGCCTGTCTGCCCTGTTTAATGGCTGGCTGCATCATATCTCACATCCCTCCCCCAACCCCGCATAATTACACTATAGTACCCATTTGTCTCCTGTACATAAACAGCTCTTCCTGAAACCCTCGTGCTGTCTTCTATTAGATCCCAGAACCATCAGCAGGCCTGAAGATGATTCTGACTGTCAGTCGGGCCCAGCCCAGCCCAGCCAGGCAGCCTGCCAGCCAGTCCGTGCCATGGCCTGGACAACAATCATATTATCCCAACGCAGGAACACAGAGAGAGACAGAGAGAGAGAGAAACACAACAATCAATAATGTACAATGACGTCTGTCTGACCACTTAAGTTCCTCCCAACAAGATGCTTCCCGCCACAACTGAAAGCTGATATTCACCCTTAGCAAATGTTCATATCACGGACACTTTGGACAAAAAAACAAAGCAGAAACTCCCTTCTGCACATTTAACTGCAACACATTTAACTGTAGCCTGTATGAGGAATTATGGGATAAGATTTCAAAACCGTTACTGACATAACTGCAGTTCCTGTTTTCCGACAAATGACACACGTTCAACTTGTCAGAAAAACAAAGAAACCAGACAAAATATTTGACTCTTATTATTCCTACTCATGCAACCGCCAAATAAAGGTTTATCTGTGCTCTGACTGGCTGACAACAGCTTTGTCAGGTTTCTGTCAGGCAGAGCGAGTGGTCCAGCACACATCAGCGACACCTCTCCAGCCATCCATCTCTTTCTCTCTCTCTCCTTTCTCTCCCGCCTCTGCATGTTTCACTTTGACAAATGTACAAGAACAGGCAGCTCCTGCAGGACTGTGGGAGGCGGAGAGGCGGGGAGGGGAGGTATGGATCGGGGGAAATTGGATTTGATAGATAAATGTCTGAGGATAGCATTACTGCTCACTCTTTCTCTTTTGGCTTCATGTGTATGTGCGTGTAGGCTGCACGCACGCAGTGCGGAAACACTGTTGAGTGGACTCTTTTTCTCAGGCTACCTCTCAGACGGCTCATCTCAATAGCACATCAATGTTTAATGGGAACTAAAAATAACTTCACATTATAATGCTCCATGGACTTTTTGTGTGATGTTTGTGGTTGCTGGTAGAAATCAACCAACCACAGATTCATGGTGACTTTAACAGACATTTATTTTCTTTTTATTTATTGAAACTATACAGTTATTTAATTAATAAGCTAAACTGTCTGTTAGCATAAGACTTTAAAATGTGATTTTATGATATGTGACTTGTTTTGTATATAAAGAAAAGTTGTTGTTTTTTCTAAGTGATGGGTCTTACCTGCAGATTTAGGAGTGAATTTGTCCCTGTTGGCAGCACATACAGCCAGCAGCCTGTAGCCCAGGTCCAAGTCAAACCCCTGCTGAGCAGCAACGCGACTCACCACCTGGAGAAAGAGCAGCGGATTGTGAGTATAGCTGCTGTCTATCTATCAAAAGTCCCCAAGTTGAATTTCTAAATATTCTCGACTGCTGAATTTATTAACTGTGCTCATATTTTGAGCCACTTTTGTAAATAAACTTCATTTCTCTTCAGAAAGAGTGAACGCTCACACACAAATACACACACGAAAAGACAGACAGTAAGATTAATGTGGAGTCTGCAGTCTGGATCGCTCCAATGATCCACAGTTGGGACGAGTTTGATGACTGTATCCTCCTCTAAGAGAGGCGAGAATGCCAAACCACAGTCACTCTGCAGAAGCTTATGAAGGGTCACCTGAAACAAGTCTGCACTGACCAGGAAGTGAACTGGCTAGAGCGCGACACCCAGCCAGCCGGAGCGTGAGTCAGATGTCCAAACAGATGAGGAGAATGTGGGACTTTTTCATAGTGCTAGTAACTTTTTACTTTTTTATGAGATCATACTGAAAAGTGCAGGCTTTGTTGAATCTATATGCAACAGAGGAAATACTATGTAATTCTGACTGCGCAGAGCCCAATATAAACACACATTCACTAGGAGTTCCCCTGTACTCGCTACCAGGCATCCACCACCCAACTAAAAAAATCAATCAATAAATAAAAAGATCACAAGGTGATTGTGCATTACCAGCTGCTGGCCGGATATTACATTGCCCCAGATGTTCTATGAGTGGCTCAAATGAAAACAGGAAGGTATGCAGTTCCAGGGGATGTCCAGACTAACCTCTGGATAGTCTCCAGAACTGTCTGCTCTCAAAGTACCTGAAATAATAGATATTGGGGTATTTTTCTGTCGATTCAAGCTTCAGTTAGCGGGTAAATATGTCTAAGTTTTTCTAATCCATCTACTATTAAAACACAAAATTGGAATAGTTTGCACGTTTCTATCCAGTTATGCTTTTACTGCTCTGCCAGTGTGTTTAGGATTATTGCCATGCTGAAAGATGAGGATCTTTGCTGCAATCAGAGGATCTCCAGATTGTAATGCATGGTAAATCAAAATCAGACTTTTCCATCATTTTAACAAGAACCCAAACACCACTGGGTGAAATGCAGCGCAAAGCCATGACAGAGCCTCCACCGTGTTTAACAGATCCCTGTATACGGTCACTGCTGCACCTCTCTTCCAGTTTCCTCCATATATATTGATATAAAATTTCAAATTTGAGTTTGTCGCTCCATCAGACTGATTTTAGAACAGTCTTATCTAAAGTGGCATATCTCAGCCTGAAGAATGGCTTCTTGACAGTCGCCCTTCCACTGAGACCATTTATAATAAGGCTTCGGTGAACAGTAGATGGATGAACTGAAGGAGCAAATACATCTATCAGGTGGCAGGTTTTAAGCTAACAGGTTTTTGGGAATCATCTTATTGGTGCAAAAATACTTTATGCCTGCTAAGCTGTGTTAACTTTGGCATTTTTTTTATAGATTAAACAAAAAAGGGAACAAATGATGTGTTTTTGCAACAGGATGCTAGTAACAAGGTGCCAAAAGCTACAACTTAAAACTGGTTCTTTGCTAAGTCGCCTGTTATATGTAGACACAACACTGATTCATCTTGTGAGTTAGGTTCCTTTTTTATGCTTGAATGATTCATAGGCCAGTGTTACAGGGGTAAGCACACTAAAAACCTTCCTCTTAAAATAATTATTTATAATGAGTAGACTTAAAATGAGTCAAAAGGCAGCCAATGTCCAAAGAAAGAAAGAAAATATGTTTCTCAAAAACACTTTAAACAATTAGAAGCAAGTCTGGCTCCTTGGAAGCAAAACACAAAAAAAGAGAGGTGGCTCGACACTTGTGCACAATAGTGTAAAAAGCTTGGGAGGTGAAAAAAGAGAGAAAACTGGTGAAATGATGTCAATAATAGGGTTTATTTGATTGTTCCATTCAGGAGAATAAAATATGCAATTCTACACTTCCAGTGCAACTTGCATTATATCCATCTGAAGCTGCTCAGGACACATCAGGATTAAGCAAACTATTCTGACAAACGGTCAAATCGTGTTGTTGTCAATGGCTTAATTTCCTGCGTGAGTGAGTCTGCCCTACAGTTTATACAAGGCAGGCAGCCAGTTACAGAGGCTAGCATAGATTCAACATGGATTTAACAGTGTTTCACCTCATAAGCCTTTTTCAGCTTAATCTCCCTCTGAGGATGTGCATCCAAGCACATATTTCTGTCAATATGAAAACAGCGCTGTGAGAGGTGCTGAAAGGGTTAGTAGGCCACTCACTTTCTTGTTTATCTATTTGCCAAAGAGAAAAGGAATCAGTTTTGTAGTTTATTTTTAACTGCTGTTGAAGTCATTCGTGAAAGACGGCTCCTTGTGAACTACGTGGGAGAATTTAGAAAACTGTGGAATCATATACAAAAATAATACATATGTCTGCATCCACTACATTACCGCCCACACATTTTGCATAAATATAAAGAAAGAAACAAAACACAAAAAAACACTACACCTGTCATGTAAAGTGATTCTAACAGTGCAATACTTGTTATTTGCGTCATCTCTTCCTGATTCTAAAGCCCCCGGGGAACAGACGATGTCCTCCACATGGAGCATGCGTTCAATTAACAGTCATGTTTAAATTTCTCTTTGGATCTCTGATACACAACCGGCACAAAGACAAAATCCTGAAAGAATGCACAGACTTGTTGCGTGTTCTAATTCTCCAGATAAGCAGCAGTTTGCTCTAAGTCTGACGAAACAATTTAGCTGATGGAAACCGCACCATGCTGAGAGGGATCTCAGTGGGGGGCTCGATTGTATAGCTCCTTATCGGCCTTTAAGAGGCTTTTATTGTGATTTACACATTAATGAGCATTTGTCTGTTTGCTCACGTGAACGCTTGGGCTGGGAACAGCGTTCTTTCAGTGCTGCAAAGGCTTATCTTTGCAATAAACACGTGAAACAAGCAGGTCTTTGCTCTAAGGGCTCGCACACATGGCTGCGCATGTAAGTACGTGTGTGAGAGGTTTGTACACACCTGGTGAGAGCCAGCTCTCTGGCCCTGTGCCCAGATCGATGAGCAGCAGCTAGCGAACTGAAAGGCGATAGCCAGAGGTGACTGGGTAGTTACAAACCTCTTCATACCTCTTCTGTGTATGTGTGTGGTTTTGTGTGTGCACAGCACAATGTAGCAGCAGCTGACGACAACTTCTGTCAAGAGCCTAAGCAGCTAGATCACCTCTGGATCCAAATTACAACGTGCTATTAACAGCTTTGTAAAACAATCTGAAATATCTACACGAATATTACACGAAACTTGTGTGTATACGATACTAAACGTCGGCTAAAAGCCTCAGAGGTGGACACATCCTTATCCAAATCTAATTACTGTTTTCCTTGTCTTCAAAAAAGTACCTGAAAAACTCAACAAAAACCATAATTAGTGTTTGCGTACCGTCAGACATCCCATGAGACTTTGCTCGAAAGGTCGCTGGAAGGCCCGGGGATCTCCACACCAGTCGAGCAGCTCTGTGGCCGCTGAGTGGAAGTTGGCTGGGTTCTGTAAGTGCTGTGCAAACAGACAGAAAGGAGACTGCTATTAGAGACAATGGGAAATAATGAGTGTTATTTTTTTCGCATTAAGTACAAATTGGAAAAACACTGAACCCAAGTAGTTTTGCAGCCTTGTTCTCCCCTCTTAAACTGCCTTGATTTAATGTCTTGTGTTTCTCCGCAACCCTGTGAGGACCTTGACTCTTTCCAATATACGCCCACTCAGGGCTCAGCCGCAATGTGGGAAGAAGATCACACCCATATCAACAATGATGCCAGTGTTTCTTGTTAATCTCTCTTGGCAACACCCATCCCTCACCCCCATGACCCACACAGCAACCAAATCTTTCCCTCCAATTCTCCTTCTCTCACTTCCCCTCATTCTCTGCCTGTTCTCAGTGTAACAGAGCCCAGGCACCATTACTCCACTGGCTGACTTGGCTGTGCACAAAGAAAACAACCTTGGTCCTGGCAGCTATGTGTGCAGACTCAATACGAGCCGTTGGTGTGTTGTCTAATCTCTTTGAGTCTCTGTCTGTCTCTCTCGCTTGTTCACTGAGGCCTGAAACAGTTGAGTCTTTTCTTCCCAGTGTCTGAAGGCTACTGAGGCTGGCAGGACACAATAAGCGGTTTTAAAATTGGGCTCCCTTTCTTCACGGCTCAGGAGGTTAATAGCTCTGAAATGGCGCAGAGCTGCAGCTCGTTCACTCGGCGAGATTGAGCCCACTTGAAAGCATTTATTATTCTCATCTAGAGCTGAAGCGTTATGTTTTGTGTGCTCTTGGAAAGAAGGTAGAACTATTGTCTTTAGGGGGCAGCAGAGGTGAGCATTTCTGAAAGGGCAGCTTTCTGGCAACGTGTGACAAAAGGGACTCCTCGTTGCAAATGCAACGTGTCAGGCCAGTGCCCGCCCACTGAGAAAATCTCTGAGAGCGTCCAACGATATCATGGGCTTCAAGAGAGGCCTTGAGTGACTCATCTTTTGTGATGTGAAGATTAGGCATTATAGAGTTAGTTGTAGACTCTCACAGGAGTCTGACTGATGACGAAGAAAAGCAGAAAGAGTTAGAGAAAGTGAGAGATGCTCTCGTCGAGGTTCAGTGAGAGGGAGGAGAGGAGCCTGCTCTAGATGAGTGATATAATCTGGCATTATTGCTGCTTGATGGGAGGCGTATCAACCTCCAGCGCGAGAGGAATCAGAACTAGCACAGCAGGGGCTGTCTGTCTAGATCTGAACTCACAGCTCCTCCTGCCGCAGCGCTCGCCACCAACTCTGCCTGACAACCTCGACTCTGGTGTGAGGGGGAGGACAGCGGAGTGAAACAGCTCAGCTGAGTTTCAGGAGGAGGATGGGGCCTGAGCTGTTCCTGTTGTTGTTTAGGGTTGGATGAGGACAAGAACTGGGAAGCGGGGGAGAGAGAAGCGCAGCCGCAGCAGTGATGGGGCTTTAGCACACCAAGAGACAGACGTCTGACAGACTGTCCTCAGCAAGATGACGGACCGACGTACTCCTCTTTTTAGGCCAGCAGCGGTTCAGGCTGTTCAGTGCTTACCTGGCTGCATGAAAAAAACACGACACAGAAAAGGGCATAACAGCTTGCTCTGTGCCAACGGCTTTCCCCAAACCAAAACAACACCCTGCTAGCAGAGCTACCACAAGCTCAGCGCTCAATGACTAGCTCAGAGCCTTTGAAGTCAGGTTTACTACAAGCTCCATTACAGCAAAAGCTGAGGAGTACATAAAACAAACTACAATTAGTGCGTTTATTAAGCCAGACGTGTTAAATCCTCCTATTACAGGCTTATCGGTGACGCCAAGGAAAGTAAGCGAGGGGGATTTTAGACGTGAGCAGTGTCAGTTACTTCAAATTGTATTCACTTGAAATGAGCTGACGTTTCAAAAAACAGAGCCTTTCCAAGATTTGGTGTCGTGCAAAAGAGCCGAGGCGATCTGAGCCTGTTCAGATGGAGGTTATTATGAAAGGTGCGCAGGAGTTTAGGAGGGAACGCGTGAATAAGGGGGTGGAGGTGGGAGGTTCAACAATGGGTAAAGAGAAATTGCAAAAAATCACGAGCTAAGAAGCTCCATCATTCACTGAGTCACTCTAAGGCATGGTGTCATATGGATGTTTTCAGATATAAAGCATCACACCCACGTAGCATAAATGAATATGCCCACAGCCAGCCAGCTAGCCAACCAGTCTATGAGCTCTTGTAGACGATTAATCACAGGCAGAGGCGGTAGCCCTGGGTTATGTCTGTCTGTATATATGTGTGTCTGTGAGGAGTCTCCTGAAAGCTGACAGTCAAAGAAGTATTTAAGCAAAACCACAACAAGGGTAGGCAAACGTCAAGAGTCAGGAACGTGAAGTAAGAGAACACAGGACCAGGAGAAGAAGGGAGGGGGGCTGTTATGTTGCTAGTCGCTTTGAAGTCTGTTCCTGTGTTAGCTGCCAGATTTGCCTCCCCCTCTCTCTCTCGCTCTATGACCCTGTGCAACTTGATCTGTGTGACTGGAGCTAATGGCCAGAAAAACTGATGCCCAAATAAGGTGCTGAGGGGAGAAAGTAATGCAGGAAGGATGAGGAAATGTACATTCTTCTGTCTTTGCCTCTAAAAACTGTGTCTGCAAAGGAGTAAAACAAGGAGGAGGAGAGGGGACTTCTACACACTGCTCTGCATACACACCTGTTTGATGCACTGCAGCCTGTCATTGGTCTGCTGGATGTGCCGGTCCATTGATGGTAGCGTGTTCATCTTGATGTCTCTATCGGGACTCCATTAAAGAGCTGTTTTACTCTGTAAAAGAAGAGGATGGGGAGAAGTACAACTGTTACAACAGGTTTCTGTCAGGTCCCCCAGTGCGTGCAGAGTTTGCAGGCTGTAAATTTCAAACAGTAGCTCAAGAAATTTTTCAAACTGAGAAGCCAGCTTGTTTACGCGCTGACTCACTGAAGGGTTTGATCAGCCTCGAGCGCATATTTTTGGCAAATGCACGAAACTGAGATGTCCTGCAGCAGCAGCATTAATGACAAACGGAAACACGATGAAACTGAAAGGAAACTTTTGCAGCTTTTTTGCTAACTATGTGAGAAAAGTCTCACACTGCAAAAGAGAAAAGACAGCTGTTAGCAACCCTCAGAGATGAAGTTCTCATTGTGCCGTGGACAAACAAATCAAACAGAAGATAAGGGTCTTCTTTTTCTCTTTCTTTGCAACAACATAAACAATTGCCACCGTGCGTTCACTTTTCTGAGCATCTCAGAGAAATATGCTGAGATTTGGATTAATGGGTATCATGCTGATTTGCCAGCGAAGCCCCCGTCCCTCACCATCCCTCTGTGTTTATCTCTATCAGTATTGGTCCGCCTCACATTCCTCCACACAAAAGGCCAACAGAGAAACCACAGGTGGGGGTGGAAAGCTGCTCAGCACTGATAAAGGGTCCCCCAAGATCCCCTGCTGCGAGAAACAGAGCGAAAGAACAAACACGATCGAAACACAGTGCTCAGCCTGAGAGTTTTCATCTGTAGCGCTCAGTCTTGTGCACCGATCTTAGAAAGAGCACAGCAATATGCACACTCTCTCTCTTTTACACATGCGCGCGCACCCACACACACTCTCGCACTTAAGAGCATGTAAACACAAAAGCTTGAATTCTTCACTTTGATTAAACGTAAAGGTAAAACTTCAAAGCAACACTTTAAGAATAAGACTGTATTACTAATCCTCCGAGCTTAAGCATTACCAGATTAGAGTTACACAGAGTGCACTTACAAAGTCTTGAACATCACCAATACACTGCTTGCATGAGTAACAAGGAATTCTGGAGCAAATGTTGTGAAATGCCCGGCAGGGAAATGTCTCATCACGCTGCGCGGTGTGGGCGCTGACTGTCCTGAGGAAACTGCTAAATACGTACAGTGCGAGCCACAAAGTCACTCTGACTGTGCAAAACTTGACCCCTAACTTTGTGTGGCCTAATTCTGCCATGCTGCTGTGCCTCCCAGCGTCCAGCAGATGTCTCCCTCTCCTGCTGCTAACCAGCATGTCTCTTTTTATACACTACACCTGGAGCAAGTGGTCCAGAGAGGCCTCCTTTAAGCCCTGACAAGTGCTACAAATCCCCCTTCAGCAAGCAGGCAGCTCCACAGACCGCTAACAGGGCACACTTCAGCCCAGCGCTGGCCGTCTGACCTTGTGGCTATTGATTAACTGTTTCTCCTCCAGCTCCCCTTCCTGCTGTCCCAACACATCAAGACTAGAAAGAAAAGAGGAGGGCCGGAGGCTTTGGGGTGGAGATAGCTACATATTTTAACCATCTTTCCCTCCTTCCCTCTGTTGCACTTTCACAAGGTCCAACACACACACACACACACACACCCTTCCCCTCCCCATCAACATACAGCTCTTTTGTTAGTCGATGAAAAGATGGGCCCTGAGGTTCTGAAAGGAAAATGAGGTGGAAATGTGACTGGTTGGCCAGGCTGCGCTCAGTCAGCGGCATTGTAACTGAGACTAGAAGCCAATTCACCTGACTGACCGACCGTCCGGGCTGTCAGACCACCCAGCAGCACACGCCCGTGTAATGTGTTGCGTAACAGATGATGCTCCATTGTAGACGGAGCACAACATCTCCCAGTAACCCCACATCCTCACTCCTCCTCCTGTACTTTCAAAACGAAACACGCTAATCTGTTATCTGATCACTGGGAGGGGAAGCTAAATGTTTTACCGCAAAATGTTGAAATCTCTGCTCTCAGTTTTCCACAGATTCACTGATTAGGCTGGGGAAAAAAAAACTTATGTGTGTGTCTTAGTGTAGCAGTTGACTTTTTTCCCCCTCCTTTCCAGTGTTATATTTTTCTGTTTTTGGGCAACTTCCATCATTGTTTGAGCATGCACAAGCCACAGACAGACCTGCCTAATCTTTATTGTCTTCCCAACATCTTAATCAGCAACAGTCAGCACTGCTTACCCGAGGTGCAAAGGAAAGCATTACACATCCAATTATGATGTGCATATTACGACCTCTCTACAAAAAAGCAGTGGGAGGATGCTGCTATGAATCAGTGCAGAGTAAGAGCAAAATATAAGCAGTGCTAACATCCAAGGAAGCTTGTGTTCTTTTTTTTGTTGTTTCCCTCCTTCTCTTTCTGTTTCTGAGCAAAAACGAGCTGGAAGAATCGGGGCAAGAAGTAAGCAATCCTAAACAAAAGCACAGTGATATGAAAGGCCCTGAAGAATGGCAGGAAGAGGGCAAGAAGGGCTAGGCTCGGTGAAGAGAAGAGATGGAGAGAAACAAAAAAAGAGAGTGTTGAAATGATCTCTTCATTATCAACAGCAGCAGCATGCACGTGCACAGACAAAGCGTACGATCGCTCATAGCGCGAGTGATTTCTCATTTCAGACAAATGACTACCACCTTTGTCGAGTGCAGCGAGCTTTGTGAATGTGATCGGTCGTTACACGGAGGCAGCTGTGCAGGAGCTTGTGACACATCGCAGTGCTGTGCATTGCGTGGGAATACATTAGGAGCAGGGTTGGATGATATGGTTGCAATCAGCGCCTTGATAGGTCAATCACAGTATTCTCCAAAATCAATGTGCAAGCAGTGAGATGCTAATGAATGCAAAATTACCTGCGCAGATATCAGCTGACGTTACAAACTAAAACTGTAGAAGCTGTGTGCTGTGCACTGATGAAAGAACGGGCCCCTTTGCTCCCTCGAGGGCCAATCTGACGCTCACTTAAATAATCTGTTCACACACACTTAAAAAACAACTAAACGTGTTAAAAGCACATTTAAATATGTTATAGGTTCATAGCGTGCCAGTAATACATAATAATAGGTCCAAAGTTAGCTTTAACTTAGCTCTGTGGTCACAGAGCATTAGTCATAATCCCATATGACTTTTTGATGACTTGCTCATCATCTTTACAAAGGCTGCATTGTTTCTGTCAGTCACTGCAGGTCGGCAGTTGGGTCCTTACAATTCGCTTTTGTACTTTAGACAAAAGGATGTAAATGAGATGACGAATGAAAAGATTCATGTGCAAAATAAACTCCTTGTGGGAGTATAGCAGGACCTTATAATTTATTTTATTAGTTCTTAATTATAGCCTGTTGATAAATAATAGTGATGTAAAATTATCTGCCTTATTGAGGACCCAAACTTCTGCAGCTACGCATGTAAGTGCAACATGCTGTCGCCGATTCCTTGAAATTTCTTTAACGTTTTTTAAAGTTGAAGTCGGAAAAGGTTTCACGGTGCCTCGGGACGGGTCTATTTCAAAATAATGAAGGGCTTTTACATAACCGCGTGGAAAATTATATACTGCTTTAATGCTGAATCTATGCTGTAGGTGAAGTGCAGAGGGGAGTTCTGAACAATGACAAAAAAGAGCAATCTGATGAAGTCTGACCAGTGATCAACTTCATTTTGAAAAGGAGAACTCAGTTCTCTGGACTCAGCGGGGGATCTTCACTCCTCCTCTTCATCTTCAGTCATATGGCCACAGATTTTCTTTTCGCTCTCCTCTCCTACAGCCCCCCAAGACATCATTAGAGCCACCCAGCATGCGAGTCCCTTACACCACCTTCCATTTTCCATTCTATCATTTTCTTCTCCCCATCCCTCATATCTCAACCCTCCTGCCACTCTTCTTTCCTCCCTCACTCCCTCCCTCTCTCCCTCCTCCTTCCCGGGGCCCCGTGTGGGAGCTGCCATAACAGGAGGTGGAATGGATTCATTTGCTCTAATGTGGTTTGGGCTGCAGCGTGGCACGGCACAGAGCGACACTTTATCCCAGTGCACCGAGCTTCTCTCCCTCTCTTTCTCTCCCTGTGTGCAGTTCATGTGTTTTCAAACAGGCCAATCAACACCACTCAGCTGTGATGGCCTCTCTTTACCTCTCCCTCCCACAATCTCTGCTCTCAGTATGTCTGTAAAAAAGCCACCAGCCATTTCTCTCTCTCACACACACATACACGTTATTATCTTTAGTGGCAAACTCACAATGCCATACAGCAGCTATTTTCTTTATATTCTCCAGTCCACTCCATTTTGTCGTCAGCTTTCTTCATTTTTTTTTTCTTTACAAACCTCCTTGCATCTTCATATCTTTGTTTTTCTGCCTTGTTTCTGTCTATTTTGTTGACTCCCTGCTAATCCTCTCCTCCGCTAATCTCTACCCTTCTCCTTTTCCCTCTCAGCAAAGCCAACTATTAGTCATATCGCTCCCTCTGGGCTTTATAAAACTCAAACCCTCTACACCATCACAACCACCAGCCTCTATAAAAATGTGAAACGACTTGTCCCAGGGGTGGAAAAAATAAACTCTAAATGTTGCTGTTTGTTTATCTTCTGTTTTAATGTGACAACCACAGGAGCACCGGGCAGCTATGTGACACCCAACACTGCAATGCAAACAGCGGTGATGTGGGGATATGCGAGCGGCTCTGCTGCCGTCTATAAATATGGAGCTTCTGTTGTGGAATATTAAAGGTATGCACCACCAGATACCCCCGGGAACAGACGATTATTTCACCACTCTATATGTAAGTTCAAAAAAGGAGCACCATGTGCTAAGTGAATGGAGAACTGAATCCTTTAATCTTTTAAGTTAATTTTAATTAACACAGTCATGGTGATGACAGCTGCTACAATTAGTTACCTTTTAAATGATCTTTTTGATTTATTTTTCTGTTTATAAGGTGAAAAATAAGTTTTCATGAGTTGCAGTACTGTGCAAAGGTCTTAAGCCATTTATATATTGATTGGAAAATAAGAAATAGG